CACAGCACATGTACCGAGCGAGGCATTTGTTAGTTGACGGCATTGGTGTGTTTGCGAAAGGTTTGATGCTTCCCAGAAACATGAGGGGCCACGGCCAAGCCATTCCCAGGCGGGCCGGGGGGCTGAGCCCACGCTGGAGCTGCCAGTGCCACCCTGGCTCCTTCTGCACTGCAATCTCCAACTGCTAGAGAGGTTTCTCTGCATGTTATCACCTGGCTGCAGGGCTGGGGTTGTGAGCCTTTCCTCTCCTGGTGCACATGGCTGGGTCCTGATGGGGTGGTCGGGTTTGTTTTGGGGTGCAAAGTTCCAGTCCCTCCTGCGGCAGAGCCTTGGCTCTGTCCCCATCTCCAGCACAGCGGGGCCTGGGCTGGGGCGGAGGCTCTTGGGTGCTAGTGGTTGGTGCTGCTTGCTGCAGGGCCAGGGCTCTGTGCCCTGTTTATCCTCTCTGTGAGGATGAGGATGAAGGGGTGCAGGTGATCCTGCTCCCCTGGCTCAGGGATCTGTGCAGGAAGGGCAGCCTTGCCAAGGCAGAGGAGGGCAGCATATGTGCATGTGCTGGGAGCAGAAGGGGTCTGGCCGCAGCTGGTTTCCCCGAGAGGGGAGCAGAAACCCGCGGAAACCTCAGGCATCCCACGTGTGGCCCCAGACCCCTGTGGTGCCCCTCCTCTCGCTGCTCTGTGCCGGGGGGCTCTGCACGGGGGTTCTGCACTGGGGGCTCCACACCGCCAACCCAGCCACGCTCCTCGCCAGCTCCCCACACACCTCGGCTCTGCAAGGAGACTGGCGGGGGGGCTGTGCTACTCCCCCCCCTTCCCCGGCTCTAAAAGCAAATCTTTGTTCTTGTGGAGCTCTGGCTGCCGGCCCGCTGTCCGCCAGCCAGATGGAAAGGCACAGGGGCTCTCCTCCCTTCCCTGCTTGCTTGCTGCACACATCCTCTCCAGATCTCTAGGTCTCCCGCTGGAGCTGTGCCAGGCACTTGGGGTGTACGGTGCAGGCTGGAGCTGAGCTCTGCAGCTGGGCTGTTCCATGCAAAGCCGATGGGTCTCCAGCCCTGCCCAGGTTCCCTCAGCAAACTGGTGTCTGCAGCCATGCTGGGCACAAGGGAGGATTGCTATGTCCCCAGAGCCTGCTATGCCAGGGTGCCTATGCCCAGTGCCTCTCTAGCCTGCCCACACACAGGTGGGGGGCTGTGAGATCTTGGAGCTTGCAGGAGGAAGCCTTGTGTCCCCAGGGTTGTGGGGAGGCCTTGTGTCCCCCAGCTAGCTGCACTTGTGGTGTCACTGGGTGCTTCTTCGAGTCCAAGGGAGGGCTAATATCTCAGCCTGTCCCGGAGGAGGTGGGGAGCAGTGAGCCCTTGGTCTAGGCAGGGTGGGGGCTGCAGTGAGGGCTGCAGTGTCCATGTCCACCTCCTCAAGGGCAGTGGATGGGTGGGAGGGATGTGTGCCTTGTGCCAGCCCCAGATGCCAGCCATTCTCCAGCTCTGAGCTCACGGTTTCGGCTGGATGAGGGCTCTCATGCCGAGCGGGTCAGCGGGGTGGGCCAGCAGCTCTCCCTCTCTCAGGGGCTGGCTCTGCCCATTGCCCATGCTGAAGGTCTAAAAAGGATGGGGTGGCAAAGACTGGCCTGGCTGCTTGTAGCCCAGAAGTGTCAGGGCTCAGTGGAGGGTGCAGAGGGACAGCTGGGGTGCACCCCAGCCCTAGGCTTGCCCAAGTCTGCGGTGGCTGGCTAGCCCAAGTCATGGCCATACAGGTGGGCAGGTTCCTCCGGTGCAAAGTTATCTTTTCCTATGTATGCTCGGTCCAGTTTCCTGGCCCCAGTGTATGCTTATCCCTGGGGCTTTCACCTGTTTTTCTAGTACCTCCTTTCCTGTGCAGTGCTTTGCTCATACCTCCTTGCTTAGTGCTGACTGTGCTGATGGGATGGGTGAGGGCCAGAAGCTGGCTTTTAGGGTGTCCTGAGGTGGCTAGTTGTGTGAGCCAGGGCCCACTGTTGCAGAAAGGCTCCTGGGTGCATTTTGGAGCTGTGCCACTGCATACCTACTCCAGACAAAGAGTATTTTGTGGGCACGGCATTGCCCTTTGAAGTTGCCTTACTTGCAAGGTTCTGTGGCTGTTACTGAGCGGCACTATCAAGGGAGCTGTTGACACAGCTGGCTTCCTCCAGCCTCTTGTCGGCAGCTCCCATACCTGGGCTGGGCCGTGGGTGCTGAGCTGCCTGGCCCTGTTGCTGGGGGACAGACTGCCATCCCCCCCTGCAAGGCTGCCTGCCAGCCCAGGGCATGCAGACCCCCCTTGCTTTGACACCTGCAGGGCCAGCAGCAATGGCACACTGCCTTGCTGTGACGCAGCTCTTGTCTCTGCTGTGCCCGGCTGAGCAGCCCCTTGGGAAGCTGCTCTGTTCCCTGTCCTGGATCGATAGCCATTACCTTCCCCTGCCATACTGGAGCGTGGCCAGGAGCTCCATTACCGCTGCAGGAGAGCGGGTAGCTAGGCTGGGAGCTAAGGTGGGGTGCCAGGGTGGGCAGGCTCTGCTCACTGGGGGTGCAGATTCCTGGTGCCACCCGTGCTATGGGCGGGCAGCACTGGATTTGCTTTATAGGCAGGGAGCAGCGGAGCAGTGAGGGACTCTCCTTGGGTACGCTGCAGGGGTGGATGCTCCAACCACTGGGTTCTGGGTTCCTGCCTGGGAGGCAGGATTGGAGCTTGGGGAGGGACCCAGGAGTCCCAGCTGTGCCACGGCCATGGTGGCCGGGGCATGCTGTCTCCCTGATGGCCCTGTTGCCTTGGAGGGGGAAAGGGAGCAGCAGGCAGCCGGAGCTGGCTAGGGCACCGCTCCTGAGCGGCTGCCCTGTGTGCCCCATCCCACTGTGGAGGAACACAGCGCCTCATTCATGCCCCAGCTCCCAGGGCTGCTGCGGGGGCTGTGCAGGCTGACGTCAGGGCTCTGGTCCCTGACCACAGGAAGGTGCAGCCTTTGAGCCACCAGCTTTAGTCTCTAGCGCCTGGCCTCTTCCCTTGCCTCTGCTATCCTCCTGACACCTCCTTGCCAGGCCCTTAGGGCTGGTAGGGCTCGGTGGGTGCAGGTCTGAGATGCTGGCTCGGACTGGGGCGGGTAGATGCGTGCTCCACAGTGTGAGGAGCATCGGCACCGCCCCGGGCTCAGATTAAGGCAGCTGGCAAGGCGATCTGCTCGCTCGTGGGCTGTGGAGATGTAGCCCCTTCCCAAACCCATCGCTGGGCAGGGTGCTGCTGCTCTCTGCCTCTGTGGTGTGTGTCGGGGATTTGGAGGCTTAGAGGGTCTGCTGCCTATTTCATCGAGCCTGGGATGCTGTGGGCAGGGCAGGTCTGAAGGGGACTGCGACAGCAGTGGAGTGGGTGATTGTCTCCAGGTGTCCTGGGGAGACTGGTGGTGGGAGCATGGCGTGCCTCATCCCCTCTCTGGGAACATGGTTGGTTACTTGAGCCTGCGGGATCTCTGTGGACACAGAAGGCAGCGTGGTGGCAGGAGCAGGGCCATGCTCCTGGCTGGCACTCCCACTGGGCTGGGACACGGTGCCTGGGGGATGCCAGTGCAGGACATGGCTCTGCCCCATGACCTTCAGGGGATGGAGATGGGGACAGGCCTGGGCTCAGCTCCCTTGCTGGCTCAGACACCGAGGCTTCCCTATGCTTCCTGCGCCTGACAGACTCTGTCCTGCAGCTACAGCCAGCAAGCTGGATGTCTCCATGCCAGCGGTGGTCGAAGTGGAGAGCGGGGGCATGGCCAGGATCGAGTGCAACTTCTACATCCCTGGAAACGGTTCCTACACCTACATCAACTGGTTCTATGTGAGTGCTGGCCGGGAGAGGAGCGGTGGGTGGTGGGCTGGGGTGGCAGCTAGTCCAGGGCTTTCTCCTGGGCTCCACGTCAGCCCGGCCTCAGCCCCTCACCTTGCAGATCGACCGCAACAACTGGGTGAAGCTGTGCCACATCACAGGCAGCGAGGTCCTGGAGGAGAACACAGACTACAAGGGGCGGCTGTCAGTGGGGGAGGACAAGGCCCTCTCCATCAGCAGGGTGACGGTGCAGGACACCAGGACCTTCGTGTGCCAGGTCGGGGCAGGCAGCCATGGCGTGGGCGAGAACCGCACTGAGCTCCATGTCTACAGTGAGTGATGGGGCAGGAGGGCAGCACGGCCATGCATCTGCTCCGTGGGGGTGGAGGGGGATCCTGTCCCGACCATCCTAATACGTGTGGGGTGGCTTCTCTTTCCAGAGGTCCCCGAGGCCCCTGAGATCACGGCCAACCCAGGAGGCATCTCCGTGCAGAGCAGTGACATCCCGCAGGTGAGGAGAGGCCCCACACAGGGGAGGGGGAGGTTCACAGCTGTGCCAGGCTCCCCTCTCCCCATGGGGGTACTCCATGCTCAAGGCTCTCTCTGCCACCGCAGATTGCTCAGTGCGTGAGCAGGAACAGCTTCCCACCCCCCAACATCACGTGGCACAAGAATGGGGAGCAGCTGCAGTCGGAGGAGAAGAGTGAGTTGGATGGGGATGGGGAACTGCACCTGCCTGCCTGGGAGAGGGGCTGGGGCACTTGTGCTATCCAGGGCCTCATCAGCTGGGGACTGGCAGCCCGTGGTCACCCAAAGGAGCCCTGTGCTCCCAAGGGAGCCTTCCTCTCTCCCTTGGCCTCCCCGTGGGCTTGTAATAGCAGCTGTGTCCCCTGTAGTGGTGAAGATCCTGGCCACGCTGACCCGTGAGTCGAGTGGGCTGTACACGGTGAGCAGCACCCTCTTCGCCCACGTCACCCGGGAGGACCGCAACTCCTTCTACCACTGCACCGTGCACTACTGGCTGCGGGGACAGAGGCGTGCTGTGGAGTCACGGCGAGTCAATGTCACAGTCTTCTGTGAGTCAGGGGCTGGGGGCCCTGCCCGCTGCCACGTGGCAGGGCTCCACACCGACCCTTCCTGCTCCCTCCTCCCCCAGACCCCGCACAGCACGTGAAGCTGCAGGTCATGCCGTCCTCGGCACTGGTGAAGGAAGGGGATGATGTGAAGCTGGTCTGCGAGGCCGATGGGAACCCAGCACCCGTCTTCAGCTTCTATAAGAGAGAGGTGAGGCCAGAGAGGACCCGGGCACCTCTCCCTTGGCAGACATCTCGTGTCCTGGCTGCTCCTTGTCCCCTGCCCAGAGGGCTCTGGGGAGTGTGATGCTGCAGCTGTGATGGGAGGGTGCCTGTGTGGGGCTAAGGGCTCTGCTTTCTCCCCACTGCCTGCAGTTGGAGGACAGCTGGCAGGACCTGTCATCACTGGCAGACACCAACAGTGGGGTGCTGAACCTGCACGATGTGAATAAGAGCAGCAGTGGTCTATACAGATGCCAGACCCTGGACTTGGATGATATGAGACAGCTAGAGAAGGATGTGGAGCTTGTTGTGAACTGTAAGGCGGGGGGACAGGACCCTGTGGACTTCATGGTGGGTACCTCATCCCTCCTGCTCACCCTGCCCTGGTCTCCATCCCTCCCCTAGACATTGAAGGGGTCCGTGTGAAGATGGAGCCGTCCTCACCCCTTCAGGAAGGGGATAGTGTGAGGCTGAGCTGCGATGCGCACAGCCCCGTGGCTCTGGACTACCAGTGGAGGGATGAGAAGGTGAGCAGGTATTTGGGTACTGTTGCGGTCAGGCTCGGCGAGCCTGGGCTTTGTGGCAAACTGGGCAGAGCCAGAGCTTGCGCTCTCTCTCCTGAGAGAGGCCAGGGGCCAGGGGGCCATTCCCCCTTCTATGGACCTGCATTGTCCATCTCTACCTCTTTACCTCCTGGCCAGTATTGCAGGGAGACCCTGTGCTTGCAGGCTCCCTCACTGTGTGTAGGAGGGCGGGCTGAGCAGCTTTGGGACAGCCGCAGAGCCTAAGGAGCTGGGTGCAGAAGGGCCTGGTGTTCAGGGCTCGTTGCCAGGGGATGTCCCTTCCCAACAGGGCAGGAAGGTCGCAGAAGGGAACCAGCTTGTCCTGAGCAACCTTACCTTCGAAACCTCCAGCAACTTCAGCTGCAAGGTGATTGCACGAAGTGTGCCGGGGCTGGAACAGAGCAAGCAGGTGGCCGTGGCCGTTCAGGGTAAGAACCAGCGTGTGTGTGGGCATGCTGCCCTGTCAGAGTGAGCCCCATCCTGCCCAGCATTGTCCCTGTTCCCCCCTGAATGCTACATGTGCTTGATGTGCCCTCCCCACAGGGAAGCCGCGGATAGTTGCCATCAGCTCCCCGCTGTACGTGCGGCAGGACGAGGTGGTGAACCTGACGTGCAAGGCCATTGCCTTCCCCAGGCCCTCTGTCCACTGGAATATCAACGGGACGGTGAGAGCTGGGGAGGGTGCTGGGTCCAGGCTGTGGTCTCTCAGAGGTGCTGTGCATTGCCTCAGGTGCTGAATCCTTCGCTGCCTTCCTCCCTCTCAGGCTCATGAGTACGTTGAAGATCAGCACGTCGCCAGCAACCTGACAGTGCGCGTGAACCACGACCTCCTGCGGGCGGGAGCCATGTGCAGGGTCTCCAACGCACTGGGTGTCAGTGAGAAGCACATCCAGCTGCTGGGTGAGTCTTGGGCACTGACCTCTGACTCGGGAACCCAGAGAAGTATTAGTGCCCCTCATGAGTGTGGCTGAGCTCTGTCTCTTTC